CTTTGGAAAGGCCCGGTAGGCCGTGGAAATGTCTTCGGTACTCGGCCTGTGTTTCTTTCAACCAACTGGCGCGTCGCAACTGCCTGGACCCCAAATATGAAATTGACAGTCGAGGGCCTCTTGCAAAAAGCCAGGCCCGCCTTCACTTAGGGCGGGCACCTCCGCCTTCACTTAGGGCGGGTAAGGCTGCAGACAGGGCCCAGTAGGCCTACCGAGGACACTGATCCTCGCATTCCCTCCTCCTTAACTTGGTGAGTCCTCTGAGAAGTCTCTTATTCTGCAGGCATCTTCCCTTTTCGTTCTCTTTCATAGCCTGCAATGACTTGAGGCGCTGTTCTCATGAGTTCTTCCCTTGTAAACCAGCGATTTTCCTTGGGATCGAGGTGATGTCTAAAGCTCACCCGGTACTGCATTCTCGGTTTAGGAGGGCGCCCTCTGCCTGATGGTCGTGGAACAGGCATCACTCGATGCTCGACAATCTGGTCGATGTCCACTTCGCCATCCATTCTTGGGGGCAGCATTGATCTCCTGGAAGGAAACTGCTCGGTAGCAGCAGAAGGTGCCAACTTTGAAGCATGGAATACAGGGTAGGTGCGTAGATGGGGTGGGATGCGAATCACATCGGATGGCCCATCCGGTTGATCTCCTATCACATCTAGGACCTCCCACGGACCGAAGAATTGTGGCATCAATTTTCTAGAGATTCCTAGCTCCTGACCAAGTTCAGATGCTTTTACCCAAACTCTGTCACCTACCTGGAAATTAGAAGGCCGTCTATGCTTATTCTCAAATGCTATCATTTCATCTTGAGTTTTTCTAATGTGCTCTACGGCTTGCTGCAGCATTTGTTCATACTTAACAGCAAACTCTATGCTGCGAGGTGCTGCAGTGGATTCTCTTTCCGGTAGTAAGAAGTCCAAGGCAGTTCTAGGCTTCCAACCAAGATGCTGTTGGTTGGGAGTCATTCCGGTAGCACTGTGCACTGCATTATTATACAGGCTGGCGACGAGAGGTAACTTCTCGTCCCAGTCATCCTGACTTGGCTTGATGTAGTGCCGCAGCAAATGCTGTACCACTCGGTTCATCTGTTCTGCCTGTCCATTTGACTCAGGATGATTCCCTGATGTCATTTGGAGTTTGGTTCCCATCTGTTCAGCTGTAGACTGCTACATTTCGATGGTAAATCTTACATCCCTGTCGCTTACGATAGACGTAGG